GATTTCTTGAAATTGATTTATTTGATAGAAGAGAGAAATATTTGTTGTGGGTAAAATAAGCAGGGTAAAGATGTTTATTTATGGTAAAAAAATATAGCCGTTGTTTTTGCTGTTTATAACCGTTGCATATATATTCTCGTTGTGTATATATGTATATGTATTTTATAAATCATATAATAAGACTTATAACTAATACATAACTTTACTAATTAGAAACATAAATAAATATTAGTAAATGTTTAAATAAAATTATGAAGAGTATCTAAAATATAAATAAACATTGACATGTATAAATAAATATAATTTAAATGTTAGTATGCACAAATAAAAGTTGGTAGCATAATATAAATGTTAGTATGCATAAATAAAAGTTGGTTGCATAATGTAAATGTTAGTTTGCATAAATAAAAATTAGTTGCATAATGTAAATGTTAGCATAAAAATTAGAATACATAAAGAAATGTTAGTATAAGAAATAAAAATTGTTACTAGTCCATAATGTCCATAATGTATAAGTTTCATTAATTCATTAGTATTATTATTTTAATATGATTGAGGTTTTTATAATTAATAGTGTTTTTACTAAGTAATACATACCTTGATTAAGATAGATGTGATTTTCCACTTGTTTAGTAACCTTGATTAAAGCTTTCGTGCTGATAACGTGTTATGAATTAAGCGTAATTAATGTAACTATAAATCAAACCAAACTAGTAAACTTTGATAATAACTTTAATTGAGAATAAAGAATATTTAGAGAGAATATGAAAGTTATATCTCTTATAACTTTTGGTGTCTTTCATTCTTTACAATGGAGGGGTATTTATACTACAAATTTTACTAACATATAATTGTAACTAGTTATAAATGTTGACAAATGTACCATGCACCAATTATTACGTCATTCACCAATTATTTACAACACCACCAATTATTTACAACATATATATATATATATATATATATATATATATATATATATATATATATAATGATTCATCAAAATATTCTTTTGCTATTTCGTCTTTCAACATTTAACAGTTCGAAACACGTTTCCCGTCAGATAATCGTTGTTCATTCGTTAAAATTTTAAAATGTTCATACCTTTATGCCTCATTTTTTGCATAGATTTTTCGCCAATTGTTTTTACTTTATACAATTATTTTATTTTTCAAATTCCATGTGTAAACCATAACTTGAATTAAATTTCTTCAACTTCTTGGCTATTATAGATATTTTATCGTCCGCATTGTAGCTTGAAAAACTTGATGACGAAGCTACTTATCCTTTATTCCTCTGAGCATCGAGGTTCTATTGGCTCCATGTCGTCATCCTCGTTAAGGAGATAAAAGAGACAATGTGCATCCGACGATATCGTACAATCATTAGAGTCCGACGTCTTGGTTCGTTCCGGACCACATGTTCGAGTCAGACGTTTATGTCCGTTTCAGCTTATTTCCCATTGTCGAACATTGATGTGGTTTAACTAGTAAGGTCAGGAGCCACGATCAAAGTAAACGGGTATCCTTGAAATTTTTTCGAAAAAAAATTACACTCCTGAAAAAAAATATTAAAAAAAATACACTACTAATTTTTTTTTGAGGGGCATCCTACGAACCACCTAGCTCCACCTATGAGTAAGGCAATTTTGGTTACAACTTACAAGAGGATGTTGAGGTTGGTATATTACTATATTTTGAAGGATTTTGTGAATCTATTTTAGGTGCAAACAAGAAAGAATTGTAGAATGAGTGTGTAAAAATGTTGAAGGTCTAAGTATTTAAAAAACATTTTTAAGAAAAATTTGACCTTTTAACGTAACAAACTAACAAAGAAAGGAAAGAAAAGAAGAGAGTGACAACGAGTGAACCGAGAGAAAGTTCGGGGGCCGCCCAAGGGGGTATGGTGTTTCCATTGGGGCCCAATAGCCACCTCTACACCCCCAATGTTTGACTTTCCTTTGGTAATTTAAGATCTAGTCGCCAAGTCCTATTTTTCTTATTTGATCTTTTTTTATTCTTGGTCCCAATGTTACTAAGTTTAATAAGAAATTAATACACATTCTTTCTCATTTGGTTAAGGATGTTATTACAAATCTTTTGAAGGTTTTTGGAATTTGTTCGTGAGATTGATCCCACCAAGATCAATAATTTTTAATAAACGTAAAGAAGTAAGATTATTGGATTTATATATGGAGATTGTTTTCTCCACCCTCACCCTTTCGTCTTTCTCATGTTAAATTAAGATGCAAGAATGGTAAGTAAATTTCCCAAACCAACGTGGAGTTAAGAATGTCATTTTATATTTTTCAGAAACCAAAACAGCAACTACTATACTCTTGGACACAATCGTTACAAAGAAAATATATTTTGGATTGCTTGTAAACCATATTGCCATTGTTCTAATTTGCTCTAATAACTATATTGTCAACTTGTCAACAAATAACAAATAATCAACAAAGTCAGCAAAAGATATCATTTTCTATTCTATTTTTATGAAAAAATCATATCAACAAAAACATATTAAAGTTGGTCGAACCAGAAAAAAAAATATCAAAATTAAATAGTTTCATTAGAATAAATTGATTTATACGGTTAAGGAGTTCCAATCCGTTCCTTTTCTCTCATGTTTCTTTCATGTTCTCTCTTTCGAAATCAATCTAAAATAAATCATGTCGAAAAGCATTAATGTTTGCTCCGATCCTAATCATTCTCATCCTTTATACCTTTATCCTTCCATATTTCAGTTTTCATTTTGTTTAAAAATTAAAACAAATCATTTGTTAGCCGACTCCATAAAAAAATTAAACCTGTACCGAAAATTAATTAATTTTCCATTTAAAATAAAAATAATTTAATCTAGAAAGGGCTAGCATCCGATTGCCGTCAATCCTGATGTAAAAATTATTTTTGTTTATTTTATAAAATAACCAAAATTTCACTTTATTTTTTTCTTTTAGCAAATGATCATTTTCACCAATTTGTATCCAAAATTAATTATATATATATATATATATATATATATATATATATATATATATATATATATATATATTAACAACTAACATGCATGAAAAATGATGGATGTGCTATAATGTTTGGTTCCTAGAATTTTTTTGTGATAATTATCTTTAAGTTTTGAATTATTGAGAGACTATAACAGTAGTTTTTTATTTTAAAAATCTATAAAAAAAACTTGGAAGTTTTTTCGCTCAAGAATTTAACTGTTTTAAACATTAACTTTTTAATAAACATTAAAAGTATATATTATAAAGTATTAACATTGAGTTTTTTTAATTGAGTTGTTCTATGTGTAAAAGAAAACAAAAAGAAGAACAAATTATTCATAGTCAAAGAGGATCTATCAATCAATTTATCGTCAAACAAATATAAAAATATCATCGTAATGAAGAATCAGTTGTCGAAGAACATGGAGATGAAGAAGTTGAATTGCATGTGCTAGAAAATATGGATGAAGATTATGAAGTTGAGGAAGAACCTAGAGAAGAAGTTCATGATGTTGTGGAAGAACCTAGAGAAAAAGAAGTTGAATTGAAAATGTAGAAAAGATAGCCACCGTGAATGGTAATAGTGATGACAAAGAAGATATTTCAGTGAACATCTATGATTGTAGAAACTGGAACATCCAATGAATGAAGACATGATGTTGTGGTAGTGAATTTAATGAGATGTTTGTTAGCAATTTTGAGTTTTGAATTTAATGGTAACAAATTTACTTAATATTTACAAGAAAACTTTTATGGGGCCTCATTTTGATTTCCACACAAGGCCTCCAAATATTAGGACCGAGCCTAACGGTTCATCCTCCCCGCCACAAATGACCATGACAACTACCAACAACTATCGACCACCAACCACCAATGTGGTATTCACATATAGTGGTTGATGTCAAGTAGACTACGGAGGTGTTTGTAATATATATTCCAGATAGCCTAACCGTTTGAATCTCATCGTATGGGCATAGTTGTCGATTCTATTAAACTAATATTTAGGTTTAATATTATTATCATACATTAAGACCAACCAAATGTGTTGATAGATTGTTTTTCCCTTTGTTATGTTGTATTAATAAGAATAATATTTCTTATTAAAGTATATAAATAAAATATAATATAAGTTTGAAACTGTATGCATTATGTTTTACTCTAATAATTTGTGTTTCATCTCAATTTTATTTCATGGAATACTCGTTATAAATATTTGTCATTTAATTAGCGGCGAAACATTCTTAATGAAGTTTATGCTAAAAACATTTTTTTAGATGAAGTGTGGACTTAACGAAAATGAGAGGAGAAGCAGGACAAAGCCATCGATCAATCTCTACAATGTATGGTGGGGGCAACGGCTGGAAGAGTCACACCTCCTGGATTGGTTGGTTGGTTATCGTGGGAAAATATTATTCATTAACTTTGAAAAACTGTAACTATTGATTAAAGTATAAATTAATTAAGAACACATCATAGTTTAGTTGGTATGACGTAAAGAGCGGTATTGTTACAAGCAGAAAAGCATGGGGATCAGTAATGCTTGATTTATTTCTTTGAAAACACTGAAATGGAGAGCGACTGGACGGTAGTACGCCGGAAATAGAGGCCGGTGAACAACCAGGAGACCACGTACTTTGCTACAAACGTGCCAAAGGAAGCGACGAAAGGAGAGCTCTGGAGAGCGTTCGAGAAATATGGAAAGCTCTCAGATGTATACATGGGGCAAAAGTTGGGGAAGAATAAGCAATACTATGCGTTCATTAGATTCAGAGGGGTTGGAAACTCCAAGGAGTTAGAAAGAAGATTGGACGGTGTCAAAGTTGGAGGGAAGACACTTGCTGTCAATGTCGCCCTACATGAGAGAAAGGTAACAATAAGGAACCAAACCCAAAATGAGAAATCCAGGAGATTGAATGTCGAGCAGATAGCCATGGCCAAAAACAAAGGAATGAGGATAGGGACCGGTCTTCAGGATCATTGATCGTACACCGACATGCTGAGACCGATAAATACAACGCAAGCCTACCCCCTTGGTCCACCGCTTCCGATACCAGTCACCCTTCATCATGAACCTGCCACACACAGCTGGTTGAGAAAAATATCACTGGTTGGCGAAGCAGCATCGTTGGATCATCTGGGCCATCTTCCCAAGCTCCTTCTGGCAAAGGGAGAGACTTGCGTTGAGGTGAAATTCATTGGAGGTTTAATGGTCTTAATGTTATTCGATCACTCTGTAGCTGCCAAGGAATTCATGGTAAGCGAGCATAGGTGGAAGGACTATCTAAAATGGGTGAGATGGGGAGACAAAGTCGAGACGCATGAAGAACGTGTGGCATGGGTTAGAATCATGGGACTTCCCCTACACCTCTGGGGTCAGCGCAATTTTCGGATTATCACGGAAGGGTTTGGGAAGACAATTGCTCCTTATGAAGACATCCCTCACAGAGTGGATCTCTCTCATGTTAAGATTGGACTGCTCACCACCAGGAGGACTCGAATTAACGATGAAATTCACGCTGCTTTTGAAGGAAAAGTCTATAAACTGGGCATCATCGAATTTGACGAAGATTGGTTCCCATTCAGATTCGACCCACCTGAAGACGGTAAAGAAAAGTGGATGAAGACGATCGGATGTCAGCGAAGAATGACGAAAGGGAAGAGGGGGAGATATGGCCGGAAGCCACTGAAGTGGGTGCTCAAGAACCGGAAAAAACTAGGGTTTCGGCGAGTGACTCTAACATGATGGAGATGGAAGACGAAGAGTCTCATGGGGAACCGACGATACTAATGGAATCACCGAGGGAGGCAGCTGAAGCGACACCTCGGAATATGGAGAAACTAATGCCTAACGGTATGATGAATCAACCTAGTCACGTGAATGAAGCATGCCACACAGTCCCCAGTACCCCAAAATCAATACACGGTGGGCCAAGTAATGGAATTCCACCACTCAACTGTTTTGGGCCCTTTCCATCTCCAATCGCATGCAATGAAGCCCACACGTTTAAAGTAGGCAGGTCCAATGGGAAAAGGAGACGAGTGGTAAGTATGGAATGTGCGAATATAATTTCCAGTATCACCCCATTGATGGAATTGGCAGACACTGATCCGATGCCTCACACAATCCCTTTGTCGGAATCCCCATCTGCACCATTCGAAGAAAACAAAATTGACCTTAATACCCCTCCTATACAACAGAATGAGAATACAGACAGAAGACCCCAAAACCCCCAGTCATCTGAGCTCGTTAAAACAGCCGAAGTAGGAAAGGAATTGGGATTTGACATCAACCCCGATGATCCTATCCTTCGTGAAGCCATGGGAGAAGAAGGTGAGTATTTCGTTCCGCAATGAATTGTCTAAGCTTGAATGTAAAGGGGATCGGCGAGGCACACAAAGTCGGATGGGTTAAAAGGCTTAAGGTCCATAATAGGATTTCATTCCTGGGACTACAAGAAACTCAATTGACAAACACTGATGCAATCGATGTTCGTGGGTGCTGGGACTCATAGGAGTTTGGTGTCTCGGCAATCCAATCGTCAGGAAGATTGGGTGGACTGTTGAGCATTTGGGATGTTAAAATTTTTGAGGTAAAGGAAATTATTAAATCAAGGCGCTTCCTGGTAACAATTGGTGCTTGGGAAGGGATTCCAGGAGACACGATAGTGGCAAATATATATGGTCCTCATGACCTGGGTGAAAAGAAAAGATTATGGGAAGAGCTGTTACAGCTTAAAAAGGAGAGACCATGAACATGGATTTTATTTGGAGATTTCAACACACTTAGAAGAAGAGAGGAATGAATTAATTCTCAATTCTGTGCATCCTCAGCGTTTTATTTCAACAGATTCATCTCAGAAGCAGGTCTTCAAGATATTAGAATGGGGGGGAGTAGATATACCTTCCTCTGTCATACAGACAACAAGCTCAGCAAACTTGATAGGTTTCTGGTATGTAATAACTTTATCAGTGTTTTTCCATCCACTTCGGTTACTGCCCTTCCAAGGGAGCTGTCAGACCATTGCCCGATAACCCTCCAAACATCCTTCACGGACTTTGGGAAACCCCCGTTCCGATTGTTCAATTCTTGGCTCGACTGAGAAGGATTTGAAGAGGTTGTTAAAAAGGCTTGGCGGGAATTCAAGGGGTACGGTGCTCCGGATATGTACATGATAGCCAAATTGAAATTTCTAAAAAAATGGGATAAAGAAATGGCGAGCTACAGATCATCCTAAGGAGGTGAAAGAAATGCAGGACTTAAAAAAAAGAGTTCACGAGATCGATCTACTAGCAGAAGAACGATTGCTTTCGGAAGGCGAGATAAGTGAAAGGAGGGCAGGATTCCAAAAAATAGCGGAAATGGAGAGGTTCATGACTTGTGACATCAAACAACGGGCAAAAATTAAGTGGGTAATCGATGGGGATGAGAACTCATCCTTCTTCCATGGCTTTGTCAATAATAAAAAGAGAAAGAATAGGATTGCAGGATTGCTTATCGATAACCAATGGATTACAAACCCATAAACAATAAAATCAGAGATCTTTAGTTTCTATCAAAAAAAAATTCGAGAAAGGTGGCCATCCAGACCAAAGTTCCTTAGCTCCAGGTTTTCTGTCCTAGATCCATTGGCAAGCTCAAGCCTTGAAGCCCCATTCACAATTGAGGAGATAAAAGAGGCAATTTGGACATGTGGGAGTGAAAAAAGTCCGGGACCTGACGGCTTCTCATTCAAATTTATAAAAAGGAACTGGGAGATAATGAAGTATGACATAGTGAACGTGGTTAAATACTTTGAAAGGAATGGAGTCATCAGCAGGGGCTGTAATGCCTCAATTATCACCCTTGTCCCAAAGATAAAGGACCCGGTCACAATTGGGGATTACCAGCCAATAAGTCTCATTGGTAGCATGTATAAGATAATTGCAAAAATATTATCTATTAGGCTGAAAAGGGTCATTAGTGAGTGTATTGGTAATGTTCAATCGGCCTTCATTGAGGGACGGAACATTCTTGAAGGACCCTTAATAATCAATGAAATGTACTCATGGGAAAAAAATCGAAAGAAAAGATGCTACTATTTAAGGTAGACTTTAATAAAGCCTTCGACTCGGTCAATTGGGAATATCTTGACCATGTACAAAGGCAATTAGGGTTTGGCGAAAGATGGAGGGGGTGGATACAGAGCTGTCTGAAAACCGCAACATTGTCGGTCTTAGTGAATGGATCACCGACTGAGGAATTTGGAATGGGGCGTGGAATAAGGCAAGGAGACCCTTTGTCTCCATTTCTTTTTCTAATAGTAATGGAGGGGCTGAATATTGTAATGAAGGAGGCTTGCACGAAAGGAATTTTTAAAGGAATGCGAATTCCTAATAGTAACTTACACATCTCTCACCTGTTCTACGCAGACGATGCCCTCTTTGTGGGTGAATGGAGCGAGGACAACATAAACAACCTCGCAAGAATACTCCGTTGCTTCCATGTATCCTCGGGGTTAAAAGTGAATTTAAATAAGTCAAGGGTATTTGGAATTGGGGTGGACCGACAGGAAGTATCAAGATTGGTGGAACCACTAGGTTGTAAACCGTGCGACCTTTCATTCACCTATATTGGTGTTCCCGTAGGGGCGAACATGAAATATAAAAGACATTGGGCGCCGGTGATAGAAAGATTCCAATCCCGATTGAACCTATGGAAGTCTAAGACCTTATCTCTCGGGGGTCGACTAACATTAGCAAAGGCTGTTCTTGGCAGCCTTCCTACCTTTTATTTCTCACTGTTTGTTGCTCCCACAGGTGTTATCAAGAAATTGGAAAGCATAAGAAGAAGATTCCTTTGGGGAGGTGCGGATGCGCAAAAGAAGATCAATTGGGTGTCATGGAAGTCTGTGACTGCTCCTAAAGAGATTGGCGGCCTAGGTTTGGGCTCACTCCATGCACTCAACCTCTCACTAATCATGAAGTGGATATGGCGGCTGAAAGTGGATAACTCAGGTCTATGGAGTAAGGTTATTAAGGGTATTCATAATCTCTATAATAAGCCTGCACGATATATATCTAAAAAGACATTACCTGGAGTTTGGAACCGGATAGCTGGAGTACAAGATGAGCTGAAATCTTTTGGAATCGACATGGATAAAATAATCATGAAAAAAATTGGATCTGGAGAAGACACCATGTTTTGGCTTGATATATGGATTGGAGACTCGACGCTAAAGACATCCTTCCCGGAGGCATACAAATTGGAGTGTCGCAAACACTGTAAAATCAGTGACCGATTACAACATGGTGTCATTAACTGGGAATGGAAATCAACACCAAGAACTCCGGATCTGGTTAGTGAGATTAACCTGCTTGCTACCAGAGTTAGCGACTTCCAAGCTGCGCATGGTAATGATAACTGGGTGTGTACAATATCTAGTGATGGGATATTCCATGTTAACGGGCTTAGAATACAAATTGACCGATGGAACATGCCAACGCTGGAGACTCCATTAAAGTGGATACACGAGATCCCACTGAAGGTGACTTGCTTTATGTGGAGGGCAAACCTGGAGCGAATTCCAACTGCATGCGCCCTTCTCAAACGGGGTATCCAACTCACTTCTCCTCTATGTACCTATTGCGAGAATGAAGATGAGGATGCATCTCATGTGATCTTACGATGCCCAATGGCTGCAGAGGTTTGGGAATGGGTGCTTCGCTGGTGTGACCTCCCCAATGTACATTTTGAATCTGTTGAGGAGCTGTTGAAGTTTACAGCGCATTGGGGGACATGTGAAAAGAAAAGGAAAAGTTTAATTAGTATTTGTTACGGGACGGCATGGCTTATTTGGAAGGCAAGGTGTGATTGGGTGTTCAAAAAATCAAGAACTTCTCCCGCCAAAGTGGCTGATTTGGTAAAATCCACGGTGTTTCTATGGATTAAATATAGGAGAGAATATTGTAATTTGCAATGGATTGAATGGTGTGTCAATCCTTTTATTTGCATGTAATATCTTTCCTTTTTCTTGTACTTTCCGCCCTCCCTAGCGTCTTGCTAGGTTTGTGGCTTTAATGATATTTGCCCGTTCCAAAAAAAAAAAAAAAAAAAGAAGAGTGGTATTGTTTAATCAGAAAATTAATTTGATCAGGAATTCAATAAAACGACAACTTAAAATGTCAAAGATACATCGTGGATTCGCATATACTTTTTTTACACGAATTTGTGTCATTGATGTCTACAATTAACTTAAAATTAATTTGATGAAATTGTGTCATTGATACCTACAATTTTTGATTTCGCCATCCAAATTGTTGGCATTTCATATCATTTGATGAGGTGGTATCATTCATTTTTAAATTTAAAATACAGTATTTAATTTTAAAAGATCATAAATATTAACATTAAAAGAAAAAAAAAACATAACATTAAAATTATAAAACATAAATTACAATAAAAAAACATAACATTAAATTTAAAATTACTAATACCCTAAAATGAAAATTAAAAATTTACTAAAATAAGTCATTTAATCCCGAAAACTTATGAATCATTCCATAGAGTCTCAATCGATAAGATTAAATTGAAATATATGTTCGGTAAAATCGCCGCGAAGGTCATGATGTTTGAGATTGCTATACATCTCGTTTCTTTAGTCAACATACAATGAGGTACTAGGTTCTATTCGTGACACATTTGAGGAGACATTTTAATTTTTGACATACATGTATATTGCTTTTTGTTCGTCTTCTAAAATCTTA